AAAAACTAAATAAATAAAAGGCAGCATCTTCGGAACACAATGGTTCTGGTTCCGGTGCCGCTAGCAATTCGAAGACATCCGATAATTAATTGGTTTGTGACACAAACAACTTACTAGTCGCTGGTCCTATGTAAGCCCTCTTAAGATGAATCATGAGTTTGTTTGTTTGGTTGGTTTTTTATATGCTGCAGAACACAGGTACTTTTCATAACATTTTGCCAAGGGTGTCAAAAAGACAATACTCTCCTATGCTTGAAACACAAATTATTGTAACCTTTACCACGATTGTAACTGGATATGTCTGCAGCCACAGTTGGCATCTGATTAGCGGAGGTAGCTGCAGCCGTTATTGTAACCACGGTTACACTAGTGGGTACATCTGAACCAGCAGTGTTACCGATTGACAATAGTAGGAAACCTTGTCGATAATAATAGCTTTGTCATTCATTCGTGTAACTTGGGTTGGACGTCAAAATTAATTTAGTCTCAAAGACATAAAAACTACCGAGCAGTGTCCCAGTCATGGGATATCTGTTTGTAAGAAATGTATAATGCCATACCAACCATGCATGGTGAAAATATCATGTATATTTCGACCACGAAATGGAAAATGAAACGCGCAAAATGTAGTTCCCGATTTGTTTTGCAGTAATTTTTTATATCTATTTCTACCAATTCCTTGCTTTATCAGCTATATACATTTGTCCATAAGTAAAGTACCGACCGTTTCTTAGATTGGGCTTAAATTTGTTCCCTGTATCCAGGACAAATATTCGATGACAACAGAGTATTAAAGGATGCTGTTTTAGGCATCTAACGAAACTATATACAGTTGACAGGAAAAGTTACAGAACCGGAAGTGCTCTACTGAATCAATATAGTCCGTGATTCTAAAATTGTTTGGTATTTTGGATCACGTGAATTGACTTTTTGTCTGGGATTGCACCACAATTGCTCAATTGGGTTCATGTTCTGCGACATTGCAGGCCATGTGAGTGCCTCCATCATATCTCGGTGGCGATAGTCTTTCACTGGCAGGGCCAATCGGCCAATGGTTGGGCGTCGAAAGGTGGCACAACTCACAGTCGAATGATCCGTGCACGGTACTTTTGCCCATTTAAACTTCCGTCTAGGACATGCAAGCGAAACTTACAGTTTAGAAAAAATGCATCACCAAACAACCATTGCTGTTGTGTCCAGAATGTAATTATCATAGTTTGCTGTATTTCTTGGTCCTCAAACACGGATCCTGTAAATAAGGGATTTCATGAGACTGAATATTCCAGATCCGGTGATCACGTGCCCAAGACAGCCTTGCCTGTTTGTGTCTTTCAGTAATCTTTCAGCATTTGTCAATTTTGAGATATAATACAAGCATGTGAATGTATTACCGGTAATACCAAACGCTGCTTTCTATGGCAGAGTAAACCTGTGTTTAGTTAGGGTACCCCAGATTAATCCGGTCTATTGTTTAGTTGAGTGTGCACATGACGCTTGATAGCATGCAGCAGCAAACACCAATGTAAACACTGCACGGAGTACGACAAAGTTTACCTTCACAAACGATAAAATCTGTCTTGATTAAAATCTTCATGCTGAAAAAGATGGTCCCTTATCTATGACAAAGTGTATGAATTAAAACATTTCCTCAAATTCCTGACTTTGTCAGTTTTGCTTATTAGTTAACGGCATTTCACTACAGGTCATACCATCACGCCCTGATATCGTCACCAAAACAGGCGTTGGTACAGACAGTCAAATCATCGTCGAGATAGTTATTTTACGGTGATAAAACCAGGTTACATATACTCGTGATTGTTGTAAATGGGTATTTTTCAATCGTTCATTATCCTACAAGTTACAAAAAAACAATCGTTAAATATAGTATTTTGTAATTTTTTATAAATAATTAATGAGATACCGTTTACGGTTACCACTTATTGATTTTTGGTTTATATTTTCTTACCTTCGTAAGAACATTTGTTGACAGAGAAACGCATATGCAAGATTTGACTGTGATAATGTTATTTTTAAAAATGTGATATTTTCTGTTCCTAAAGTGACGGTGTAAAAAGGATCAATACATTAGTTTTTCTATGACGGATGAAAATGTTCCTTTGGACGCCTCAAATCAAAGAAACCCTGATTGGACCTCGCGTTAATCGATTGGGGACGCGAGGGGAAAGGGTTTCTCGGGGACGATTCCCACAGTGGAGTTGTCAACACTGCGACGTGGCCTGCATAATTGATTTAGGTGGGAACTGCGTTGTGGGACCCCAAGCCGATAGTAAAACTAGTTCCCGACATCGGTCCGTGCAATACAAGGCTGCTCTCCTTACGTACAACAATTATATACACTTCGCCATATGATACATGACAAATTGCCACAAATATATTTATGGCTAAAAATGTTTTACATTCAAATCTGACTTTTTCCTCATTTCCATTTCCATGAATATTTCTGACAGTCATGCCCAATCTTAGTTCTAAATTCCTATAAAAATAAACTTTTTTTCTCGAATACTGGATTAAGTTTAGTACAAATGGGTAAGTTCTCATAAAACTGTCATGCCTACATGCGGGATCGTAAATACGGCATTAGTGGCTTAAACAGTTGCCCTGGACCCCTTGTCAGCTTCACAATTTTCAGTAGGAAACAAGGTTTATATAAAATTTGCAAAAGAGAAAAATCAAACTAACGGAAAATTGGATTTCACAAACAAATATCCCTCAAATACGATTTGTTACCTGATAAAGTTAATTTTTCTTAATTGATATAAATATATCGATTGTACAAGCTACAATCATTTACATGTATGTTTTCACGACTTTATTTTATCTCATTATCAACAGCTGACTTATAGATCTATTGATATTACAAAGATGTAAAAATAGACACGAAGCACTTACAATTGCAAATGTTGTCGAGTGACTTAGGAAAACAAGTTCTCACTTCACTGAACTTGCAGGTCAGGATTTCCGTATATACAGCTAAATGTTGACATTATAGCCAGTCAGAATGTCTCTAAACCATAAGAGCCCCATCAGCTGTTATCAAGACTTTGGAGAAAGTGTTTGTTGGTTTAAGCTGATTGGTTATAAGTATAGACAAGATAGAAATCCAAAATGGTGTTACTGGAAGTAGGAGATCAATACCAAAGGATGCATCAGATTGTCTCGATTTTCAAGCAGGATAAGACCACATTAGTCGCCTCAATCTGAAGGTTTGAATGGATTATTCTACACTCGATTTTGATGGAATCATTCTACACTGGATTTCTCAGCAGAGTAGAAATACTTTACATCCCTTTAAGACTTTATATCATTTTAAACTCGATTAATCAACGGAATCATTCTATACACGAATTCCGAGTAGGGTAGGACCTATGTAAACCCCTCTATGAGTTTGATGGAATTATTTTACACTCCATTTTCCAGCATTACATCTCTATAACCAATGGAATCAATGATTGATGGAATCATTCGACATTCAATTTCCCAGCAGGGTAAGGACATATAACATCCCCTCTAAAAGTTTGCTTATTCTACATTATTTCCAAAGAAGGGTAGGGCCACATTAGTCGCCTCGAACTAAGGATTCCATGATTCTACACTTATGCGATTTGAGATGACAGATTTCCTCTGAAGTTGTATCAGTAAATGGTTGTAAAACGTCGTCTGCTTCCTAAAGAATCGGACACCTTTGGACATATCACAGATTCCTCTGAGTTAACAAGGTTCGAAAGAAAATTCTGCATCATGTTGGATTCGTTTTCAAAAACAGAAAAACGCATTCAATGTCTGAACACTGCTTCGCTAAGTGGACCGTAGAGATTCTGTAGACATTTTTCAGGCCTATGACGCAGTCGTACAAATGTTTATTCCTCCACAGAGACGAATTCATAGTGAGGTACACCGACCAACAGTATATACCGCGTGAAAAGAACCAACACGATATCGCCGATGCTATTCGTTAAACTTTCGGAAAGTACCTTTGAAATTTCGTAAAATGTTGTAACTCGAATTTAAACTTTTCAGTACATTTATACAGGCAATCGCAAACCTTCATTAAAGGTGAATTTGTCAACAAGTTATAGGATATTATTCAAAATTAACCTATCAACTACCAAGTATCCAATCAAACCACGTAAACACTGCTTAATACGATTGTCATGGAAACTACACTAACCGACAATACAGATACCAGTGATGTTTACGAAGACTACGTTCATTAAATAAGTACATAAATATTGATTTCAAGATGTTCATGAACCCGTTGGAATACCATACCTAATCTAACAGCGTTTGGACCGATATAATTGAGAACACAACACTTTGTAACTTTGAATTCTGACATCATAAATCAGATGTCTGTTGAACGTGTAAGATGTTGTATTAGTAACTGATATGGAAAAATTCAAGAGCAGTGCCCCATGTTAAGTCAAAATTTGTATACTAAATCTAGCAGAAACAAACGAGTGGGGACTCCAATAGGAATACTAGTACCCTTGTTTTTATAATGTTACCGAGTATAATAAGTGTCTCACGATGTTAAGCGTGATTGTAATTAACATAACGGTACAGCTACTCGGTGCATTAGCGGGAGCCTGCATCTTAATCAGACTCCAATTAGATAGAAAATCTGTAAAATTGATGGAACAAGCTGTAGAGATGTTCCTTTTCGAGCTTGATAATGTAAAGGGATACAGGTTTTTGAAAGTATGTGTCATGTTTTGGATCAGTCTTTCCCTTCCCGCGTATCTAATCCCGATTGCAAAATGTTATATATAATAAAATCATGCTGCGCATTAACATGTACCTTGTTGACACTTTCGATAGTTTAGATGCCGTGATTTTACCAAAAGCTTGAAATAAAAAAGCCGTTTTTTCACTGAATTGGTAAATAATTCATAGTTTTCTCTTTTATTTTCAAAATGTGTTTTTCGCGATTTTTATTCCATCCTCGAAAATAACAAAACTAGATACAGAACTAGTTACAGAATGGTTATCGTTTAATACTGTCATATCTCATATCTTTACTTGAGTAAATAATTTTTGAAAATGCAATAATATATTACACAGATTCACACCTAAAACGTAATTATTATATCTGATCTGAAAAGTACCTCAATCGACAATGTTTATCACATACGTACTGAAGCATGCTATTTACCTGTTCAAAATTATAAGAAACCAGATACAAATTTTACAAACACAAACTGAAAAGAGAATCATTAGGGCTGTGTATATTTACTTATAGGCAAGGTGAATTCATACAAAAATGAAAAAATCATCGGCAGGATAGTATCAAGCATAGACTTTAGTAATTCTTTGGTGTTAAATACGGCTAACTTTATTATGTTCCGTAGTTTCTTTTTTTAAATGTGACTAGCGGTAACAAACGAAACGTCTTACATACTTATTCCACCTGTTGTGATATGTAAGCTGTCTATAAATAACAGCAGCTTTAGTAATTCCGATAGTGATGCATTCTAACTATCAAAGCACTCAAGGCAACTCACCCGCTGAAAAACAACTACAGATTATCTGAAAGATCTTGGTATTGAGGAAAACGTAGTGTCATTTATCATTTCATTACGATATTTTTTATATCTTTATGCGGAATCCTTGCCACCTCTGGACCGGGATTCGTCTGTCCGTGATTATGGCCGTCTCCTGGTGGTCGTTTGCGCACCTTCATAGCTTCTTCACCCGTTGTCAACTTGAGAGCCGAGTTTGTCGAGCACCGACTGTCTGTCCATTCCACTGACTACGACCACCTTCTGTCGTGATCTGGAACCCTGAATAGACCATAAATACGTATATTCAAATATTGTCTACAAATTCCACCTCGATGGAAGTAATTAAGTACCGTCATTAGAAATCATTTTTTCAAGTATAATACAGATTACTGTCAAAGTATCGCTATTCTTCAGTCAATTTGTAGGACGAAGCACATTTTTTCGACAAAGTTTAAATGAATTTAATTTCAAATCTTTAAAATTACGATTTACATTTACAAAACTTTGAGTTAACATCCATTCAATGTATGGTTCTTTATACTCCGATCCATGTGTCGGTAAAAGCTGCTGTTGAATGTGAACTTGTTTGTGTTTTACCTTATCCAACGAAACATCTGTTTTCCTTACACCTAATACCTTGGACAGATATTTCACTAATACTGTGTTCGCTTCTCCGTCAACAGGTGGAGCTGCAATCTGTATACCCACTCTTTCCTCCCCGATACCTGCAATATCCATCAACGATTGTAAGCGCTGCATTCATCAAATTTCATCCGTAGACATATGTATACATCCCTTTATTTATATTGTAACTCATCTGTAACAGAGGCTATTATCTATTTCAATCCCTCCGCTAGTATTCGAACCCGGAACCTCTAGCTCGAACTAAAAAGAAGTTCTCTCTAGTCAAAAGGTACTTTTTGGCTAGTATTTTACTAGGAAATTTCACATTAAACGTACACTGTGACAACAAAGGAAGTTCGAAACAACACATTATACCATATATAAAGTGTCATGTATAAGTTAAATAATTCCGTTAATTGATTTGTTGCCTAAATCAATAGCTATTAGAGTCGTGGAAGTCTTATTTATCCCGTTTATCTATCTTTTTGTAACAATGTGTAATGATATTAGGGAAATGCTTTTATAGTGCTATCATAATGGAATGTGTAATGATATTAGGGAAACGCTTTTATAGTGCTATCATAATGGAATGTGTAATGATATTAGGGAAACGCTTTTATAGTGCTATCATAATGGAATGTGTAATGATATTAGGGAAACGCTTTTATAGTGCTATCATAATGGAATGTCATTACATGGTAACAGTAACATTAAACACAAGTCCGGTCACAATATATCAACAGCGGATTAACCAGGCCGTGTTCCAGTGTTGAGAGAAAACAATTTGGTTTGTCACTTCTAAGAGACAGGTCCCATAACCTTTCTCATCTAGGCTGACAATCTCAAAAACAGTTGTTTTTCTTCTTTTTGCAATATTTGGACAGCAGATGCTGCTCTATGGCCATATACATAAGACAGTACCTTCTATCTGGGATGATCTCGTGGATATGTGTGTTAAAGCTTAATTCAGATGCTGGTAGATAATACAAGAAAAGTGTGCTGTTTACCAAATGCCAAACGGCCATTTTATTCTCATCTGATGTCGGAAAGACATCTTTTCGAGTGTACGTGTCAGTACAATTTCATAAATTTGTTTCTTTTTCTGTACAATTATGTCTGTTTACAGAAGCAATTGTATGATTTTAACGTATATACACTGTAATCACACATCTTCAGCCCTATTGTTTTTACCTTGTGACTCAAATGTTTCTGAAATCTAGAGTCATTGGTTGTGATCAAAACACGTAAATGTCACTAGATCTCCGCAGGGTACTTTGGATTATGTAACGAAGAAAGAACACAATGCATTAGGTTGCAATTCTTTATATCTACCTCCAAGGACACATACTGCCGTCACTTCAATATAATCCCAACATGAGACGTATGAACACGGTCCTTGATCTGATATCACTGCGCATGTCAAAGGAACCATCAAATGTATCTAATGATCTCTTCAGCAACGATTTCCAGCGTCCGTGATATTAGAAAATGACAAAGATGTCGTGTCGTGAATGTGGCTTCAATCAAAGGATATATGAAATATATCTTCTTTTCTTCATTCCTGCGACTTTAATCCTCCGTCAAAGTGCCAGATCTTATCGGCTCTGAAACACAATATCTCTTTACCGCATGATTAATTTTGGCCTTGTAGTACAATGTAATATAACAATCAAATTATAAAGTTAAAAACACCGGAATGGACAGTATCAAGATCCTCTTCCTCATTTCCGCGCGACAGACATACATTCCTTTCTTAAATCCTTTCGAGGACAGTTCAATTGGTTTACAATAAACTGGAGATGCAGATAGTCCCAAGATGGCTTCTATATATATACATATTGATGTAACATTCAACATGCTGAGGATGGCAATACGGCAGTACATGTACAATTCAATATTAAACAGTCAAGATGGAGAACGTTCTCGTCATACCTGACAGACGGAAATCAGTCTTAGTACATGATACTGGACAGACGGAAGTCCATGTCACGTTACTTCGTATATCGGACAGTCAGAAATCTATATCACAGACCGACAAACTGCAAAGCGGATGCTTGTCATTTTATCCGGAATACTGGACAGATGGACGTTACAGTCACATTAACCGACAAACTAATTGGACGTTATTCCTATCCAGGTCAAACGGAAGCCCTAGTCATATTAGCCGATATATCAAACAGACAAATTAAGGCCTGGTCATTAAAGACAATAAACGAAGCTAAAATGTTAGAGCGATATTCATAGATGAAATGGACAAATGGAAGTCTTCGTCATATTAGCCGAAAAACTTCATGGATGGAAGTTAGTGATAATTGCCGAAACACTGGACGGACGGAAGTCCTTGTCTTAGAAGCCGGCAAACTTCACTGACGGGAGTTCACATCATACATGTATTACCGACATACGAATTAAATGAAAGTCTTAGTCATATCGTTCGGAATACTAAACAGACGGAAGGCTTAGTCATTTTAGTCGGAATGCTGTATTGGCCGATATATCTCAGTGTTTGGGCCCTAATAAAACGAGTGTTTAAAACACTATTGAATAACACGCTTTTACTGGAGGTTCCATGTTTGCTAAACCTGGTATTGCGTTCATATGTCATAATACATTTGTCTAAATATAATTGTTCGATCAAACAGATAATTTCAAATAGATTTTGATTAAAACAAACTGTTACTTGCCCTCAAATACTATAGATGTCACCATGTGACTATTGTTGTCGTACTATATTGTATATATATTGAAGGGAGAAGTCGATCATAAGTTGGTAAAACTTACAGACCAACCTCTTTGACATGTTTTTTTGTCAATAAAATATGTTTAAACTTCAAACTTATGGCCTATGAAATAAACATCCATTCTGAAAGTTTTCTTATTGCAGTACATAACAATTTCCGTGTGTAATAAAATTAAGGTCCGGAAAGGTAAAATGTTTTATCACAAAAACTTGTGAAAAGTGTGATTGTGTTTTATAAGTAACATATAGACATCCATTTGATGTATTTGCAGTAGTTAGCGAGAATTGTGCACAATAGTTGGAATCTTTTTAATAATCGTTCACCATGTCAGAAATCAACCACTCCATCAGTAAGAATTTTTAACCACAAAATCTTGAACATATGTGTAATATTTAAAACGTTTTCTCTTGATAGCAGCTGAACCATCAAAACCAATCACGGGTCCCAGAACGATTCCTCTGCGCCAGAACAAGACACTCAAATGTCTCAAAAGATAAACTCGTTGCCATAAATTATCGCCGTTACTGCACGCCTCGTTTACAAAGCAGCGGTATATTACAATTTGGATTACAGGGCAATATTTCATAACGAAGAGTGTGTGTCGGTATAAATACATTTAATAAGATTAATCATTTTGGATAAGTGACGTATTGAAGGTGTCTCTCTTCTCCCTTCTGTCCCTGGTGACTACAAGTTACGGTAAACACTGCCTCCAGTCGACTTAACGCTACAATTGCTAAACCATAAATCACAGACAGAAATTTGTTTAACCATAAATAGGCTAAGCGTGTGAGATTCATGTTTCACCCATTACTCATTTCTATTCATAATAGCAAAGAAAAAAATATCTCCAAATATTGAAGTCGTATAGCTGGAAAGTCGATACATTCCTCTATGGTTGATTGTTTTTACATTTTTCAACACTTTCATTTACAGTCGAGGAAGGTTCCATACGGTCTAATTACGATCTTAAATTCATGAATAAAAAAATCTGATATTTCCTCATCAATGTATTAATGAAACTTTTTTGTTTTTTATATCTAAATTTAATCCGACTGATATCGGTGTTCATTAGGTTATTCGAAATGGTCTCGTCCAGGCAGTATTATGTTTCATTTGCATTGCTCGTTGAAATGAATGTACTCGGATTCGATTTGAGAAATTTTGTTTTTAGGTAATGAACTTTCGTTTAACAAAGCGAGCTTTGTTTCAAAACTTCAAAACTAACCCTCAAAGTTCAACTGCAATATTCCGTTTATCGGCTACCGTCTCTGGCAATAATATAAGCCAAAAGCACGGTCTGGCTACAGCGCTTTACCGACCTTAGTTAAGCCGTGTTATTTCTGCTATAAATGAGCATTCATTTCTCCATTCTTTCCATGTTTGTTCTCAGTAAACATCAACTGTAAGAAAAAAACCATTTGATATACAGTAACTTTTTACACTTTGATTTTTTATCATTGTTTTTTAAGATATATATAGTAATTTCAATAATGTGCCTTTTTGTTTTGGTATTTCGGTTAACGTGCTGAAATGGTGTTATCTTCACATATTTTATTTTTATCACAGAGCTATGATAATTATTGCTTCATAAGGGAAAGAAATAATGTAAGCTCAAGAAATTCTAACTCCGAGTTTCGAAAATGGCTCTTTTCTTTCAGCGTGAAAATATCAAATAGTCCATAAACAAATATCTTCACAAACTAAAAAATTGTTGTGAATTTCGCTTTCCTTTTTAAAGTCAGGAGACAAGTTTTCGGGATTATAATTTTTTATGCTATTTGCAGATGCAATTAGTGAATAACGTGTATATAAAAATATAGGATCTAACTGCTGAATCGACGAAAGTCCGCTCACTGTTTGGTGTTGTATACCGTATGTTACATTGAAATTCATTAAGTATCCAGACAAGGAAGTGAAAACTTCACTGCATAGGGCGCCTTTATTGTCCACATTAATTGTGGCTATGAATCCGACATCCCCAGTATACCAGGCGGTCGTTAACACAAGGAGTGTCTCATTTTATATTATCTTTAATATAATATACATCGTTTAAAATATTTCATCTTCGCCCAAAGAAACAAGGTTCAGATTAAATCCTAGACGTTGGCGATAGTTTGTTTGTTGGGTTTATTGCCTCGTGAACGAACAGCCAATGTCATTTTGAGGCAAGGTATCCTCGCAATAGCTGAAGGCTACCACAATGAACACCATACATAAGGCCATACAGAGCAATAAGGGTAAAGTGTCTTGTCCATAGAAATAACACAAACCGGCCAGTTTCTCAGTATCCTGAGATACACAAACCATCCCAGGGAGCAACCAAACCACGCATATTCATGCTACGTAGTCAACTCTCTAACCGACGGAACTATCGCGGCCATTTTTGAGGATAGGAACAGATTATCTCAAAATTAGCAGGAAACTATTAGTCCAGAGTTTACGAGACATCGGGACAATGAACTAGAAATCCTTTAAAACGTCGAATCAACGAAGCAAATTATCATGGATAGTCAGCGCCGAAATGATACCCACAGCGTAACTGATTGTTATTTATAAAAAAATATGTAAAACATGAATATAAAACAGAAGAAATACAATGGAATCGTTCCCAATGTCATCTTTGAAATTGGAAAGAGAAGACGACAAACTCTTCTACATCAGCTGCTTATCCAAATGTTTTCCTACAACAAAACTAACATGGACAGCTTTCCACCAAGCTGTATGATAAACGTGATGATTTTGAATTTCCCTATTGCGAGTTTTCCATATCTGGATAGCAATATCTGTGCATCCCCAATCTATGGTATTTACATGTCACAGTTATTCGATATTCAAGGGCCTGATCCCATTATCATGATTTTCGTGCAAGAAGTCGTCAACTGACGGACAAACTCGTAACACAGTGTTTAAAAAGATGAAGTTGATGAAAGTAATTGGGAAGACTTATGGTCACCAGAGTCATCTCACTGAGAAATATTCTATTTATTTATTTCATATCAAGCTGGACATGTTTGATGCTCGTTAGTGTGCCGAAGTCATGACATTACTTGATTTGATTTACCAAGGTTTACATGGCGGGTGTCGTCGATCAAGCTGAAGACGCTTACTCTTCCGGAACAACTGGTCTTATTCTTTTTGTACTTCTTCAAGAGTCTCCGTGTAAATCTTTCTTTTGTTTATATTTAGCCCTAGTTTATGGAATTCATGTTTGGATTACGATTATGTTAACATGTTGGTATTTTCTTTATCTTTTTATAAGTTGAGAAATACTAACTAACCGTTGAAACATAATCATTATAGAAATCAATTTATTTTACCTTTTTGTCGCTTTGTCATTCGTTTTATCGATATCCAATATCTGGAATGTAACACTTAGATGGAACAGTAATGGCAAGTGGAAGATTGAATAAACTTCTGGTCTCACAAGAGCTTAAATAGACGGTTAGGAGCCAGAACCCTGTATGACGCGAAACGCGATGTGTAACATTTGGACTTAGAAGGTCGATTACATGGAAAGTACTAGTTTATAAAAATAATTACCATTCTATATCATTTCATAGTAAAAAAAAAACATTTGGTCTTGCCAAAATGATGTGGTACATTCTGCATGTTACACAAGCTTTCCAATCTTCTTCTCATCGAGTTGTAAAAAATTCCTAGATTTATTCTAGATAGCACAATTTCAACAGAAAACATCCTTTGTACATTACTGACAAAGACTTAAATCACGCTTCGTGTACTTTAACAACAATTACGTAATTAGACAAGAAGCAAATAAGTTGCATTCATTATTTTGGTTGCATTATACGAAATGAACCAACTAATTAACTAGAAGATATTTGCTAGACATAAATGTCACGTTTCCATGCAAAAGAGTCAAATTTGATGAGAAGTTCTCAAGATGTGATTTGAAACTTGACATGATATGAATGGCTGACATTACAGGTAACATTCTAGGAGCCTCCTTCATTGCCACCATCCCCGTCCTACCCCCATTAAAAATGACGAAAGCATAAAAAAGTTTTGTTTAATTCTGACACTTTTATTATAGGACAATGAAAGAAATGTTCTGATATTCAGTAAGAACCCAGTGATATAGACTGGGGAACCAATACAAGCTTTCAGAGGATATGGAAAAACACGTGTGTAAATAACTAAAACTGACATGCAAGATTTTATGTTCGGAAGACGAAATAAACTAGTATCGTCTGCTCGCACTAATCAGACCATCAAGGGGTTGTCAAGTTATCAGAGGAGCCATTAACTACTGTATTGAAAGATCGATGTTCGGGTGTACAGGCCTGGTCTGTACCAACACAACTACGGACCAAGTGGATAAATCGTTCCCGACTTGTATCAGTTTATCTATTCTATCAAAATAAAGACCTTCAGTCTTAACCTGTCCAGAGTTCAAAATCGCAAAATAAAAATGATATTCACCTGAACGATGTTTTCTCGAATCATCTATATTTAGTCAAACGATGTTTATACATTTTCCTAGATAAGTTAGAAATATCTTGGTCGACATACAATGGTATATTCACCTATGTGCAATTGTTTCTACACAATGGCTTCAGCATTTCTCACTTTCCTTTACATTTTTTAAATGGTTGCCATCACAAATCTCACCAGCACATTACTTGTGATAGGCCTATCGAGAGTAAGGAAAGCCAACCTACCGACAAGTCGCTAGAATGTTGTGTCCATGGAGACTTCTGATCATCAGCTGCACACTAACAACTAATTTAATCCCTGGAAAAATGGTGGATAAAAAAAACAGAATTGGTCTAAACTGAACACTTATCATGGCTGATCCTACCTGGCCAGTATCTTTCAAGGAAATCTTTAACAAAAATATTATTTGATATTGAAGAACACTTTTGGGACTATGAAGAAGGAACAGGCTTTGATAACTTGTCACGATTGTAGTCTGTGTATTTCTGATTTTACCATTACCAATAAACATGTTATGTAATTTACAGACGAACAATAAAATAGGCCATAGAATAGAAATCCTTCGAATACAACAGGTAAAAGTTTTGAATGTGACGTTTCGATGACTACACGGTCATCTAGGTCTCATCAGGCAAATGACCTGTAGTGTGGAGCGTAGTGTGCGATATGGTATGGAATCGACATACTTTTTCGGCTGTACTATAATCTGTGAACATAGTGTGACGAGATGGTCGACAGATCATATAAAAAAATACACAAGATGGTACTTATGTACTGTTGTCAATTCGGCTATGCTTTGTTTAACACTTGGTCATAATTGTGCAAGAGTCTGTGCCCCCTCGTCCTTGTTTAATACTGGCCCGCTGCGGGGTATCCAGATGGCTTCCCAAACCAAAAAGAAAATAGAACCTATTGACGAAGCAGTATTAAGTTTTCTATGTATAACCTCCAACAACCCATCTGAACAGGTTCTATAGCCCGAGCTTCCTCTGACTCATACAACAGAAATAAGACATTTCGACAAACAGATGTCTGGTATGGAGCCAGATTGAACAATTATATGTGGATGAGAACGTAGAATTGTTGTGTGTTGATTCTGTAGCCTATGCCAGACATTTGTCCGTCAAAATGTCTCAAATCTTATGTAAGAACTAACAAATTTCGGAACATCGTTGGTCTTGTAATCATCTTTGGACCCAGACACATGGGCATTGCTTCACAAAATGTAGCTCCTGAGGAGTCGTTGGCAAATTTCCTAAACATAGCGACGGTATGAAGATTTTTATCCTTCACTAACGAAGAGAGACAACTCTTGCTCACCTGTAATACTATTGAATTTAGCTCCGGGTTTTGCCAATACTTTGATAGCGACGGTAGAATTAGAATTGGCGACAACAGCTCCTTCGCTGTCTCCTTTCGATGTTCCAGTATCCGCTGCAGCAAGTGACATTCCCTGTAAATACATAATGTTAGTAATGATAAAACTGAAGTTTAAATGGTAGTAATAGTAGTAATTTAGTGCTGATGAAACTTGACTTCATGAGTCACAAAGTATACATGACACACAAGTACATGTATATTATGTATGTAGTAATGTGTTTTAACACTTGCTGTATACTTTACTAAATAATAAGTAAAAACTATTGTCTAGTTAAACATTCAAAACTGATGAGCAGCATTAAAGGACCCTGTTCTCTGTTGTTTTGATGGATTCGACACGACTTTCAAAGTCAACTGACTTATTAATATGCAGATATGTAAACTATGTATGTGTCAACTTCTATGAAAGAAAAAATAAGAAGTGCACAACAAAGTACATAAGTTGGTTTAACCTACTTTTAGAGAGGTATTTTCTTCATTCAAAGGGAAATTAGAAGATGAAAACTATCCAAATATTAAAGTCGAACGGCCTATTGTAAAGTTTTAGGATTATAAAAACGACAAGCCTAAAAGTAAGGTTTGTACTTAAATTACAATTTCATAACATAATGCAATGCTTTAGTGAAAGCTGACATATTAATTTCTTCTGTCACGTAAAGTCATTTTATCATAATTATGTTTCAGTTTAACCCTCACGTTAAGTGATATCACCGACGTTCACATCACCACTGTCATGTGACAGACAGAACAAATAATGGGACAATTTTCATTTATTCGATGCAGCATTTTAGTGAATAGTGAATAGTTACTATTTCAAATGAAAATTCGATACACTTAATATCAAACACCTACCTCCTATATGTTGTTTAGTAACGAAATTCAAAGGGAAATGAACGATATGTACTAAAACAAACAACAACAAATACTGGTCTGCATGTAGCTACCACATGTCAAACTACAGTAGCCTAACCCACGCTTCTTTTCAGTACCTTTTCGGTTTTCTTTTGTTTCTTTGCCGGCATTTTAGAAGTGGCCGTCGATGAAAAGTAACTAACGCTATATATTGACACCCTCTGACAGATTTCCGATGCCGATTTCATGGGAGACACAATGCTCATTTTCTCTCAATAGAGAGTGAAGGTTTGTGTCGCAGTCAGTCGTCCGGTTCTATGGTTAGATTCGCAAGTATTGAGCTTTCAAGTAACGCCGACTTTTGCAATCTGTGCACTCAAGTGCTTGTAAGGCATTTGCTTTTGTTGACAAGATGACAGCAGTTGTAGATGGGAACACACGTGTTCGGTAAACATGTTTCCGATTTATTCTAAAGTTCTAGCGAGTGTTTGTTTAAACAGGTCTGGAGTCGATGTACGTCAGAATAATTCGGTCTATTCTGATTTCAATTGTCAATAGTTGATTGACAGAGAATAACTTAAATGTAGCCCACGTGAATCATCAATTTATAATAAGGAGCATTAAATTAACTGTACTAGATCAGCAGTGTCTGTATATTTACAATGCAGGGTCCTCACTCTTTGTACTTGGTGAGCTGTAGATGTATAAATACTTTAAGTATACATTATATATGTGCGTGTGTATGTGTGTGTGTGTGTGAGCATGTACAGCTTGGTCATCTGTTTGAAACTAGCTGCACAAATGTACAGAACACGTAGTGTTTGACAGTAATTTGTTTTTGTCTTTTAATCTGTTTCAGCGTGAGTTCAGTCTTGAATCGAGATACCAAGCAGTTTGGTAAAAAGTATTTGTTTGATGGAGAGGAAGATACGTGTTGGAATTCAGACCAGGTCAGTGGTTTTTGGAACGCTGATATTTGAGTCTGTATTGACTCTTGCGTTTCCTGTTGAACTCTTTCAAATCTCAAGACCCGATTATAGACGGACACTACAAATTTGTATGTCTCTTAGTATTGGTGCCCAGCAAATATCTGGAAATGGATTTCTGGACCAACCTGGAAAAGCTGTTTTATGTACATGTAATTTTACATGAAGGTCATTACAACATTCATGTTTATTGTAGAATACTTCAGCCCACTTATTGTGAATGTTATTAGTGCAAGTTGTATCATATATTAGTGTTAGGAAAATATAAGTGCAATATATCTATTTCAGTTTAATCCTTTTCTATAATCTCTTATAATACATGCATTATCAATTACAACAACTGCAATCATAAAGTGCATCAGTCTAATCTGTTATCATTGCTATATACATGTACAGTTCAGCATTTCATCATTTTTCATATCTCATGAAAAAGAATGATAATATTTGTGAAATTGTTTCATATTGTTTATTTTCATAAAGAACTGAAGAAGGTGATGATATCAACAAATGGAAAATTGAAAGTTGAGCATAAATTCTTATTCTTGCTGTCATAATGATGTATATGGCTATGTTATGTTTTTATTGTTTAAATATAATTGTTTTTTCAGGGTTCACCACAATGGATACATATAAACTTGGACACAGAATGTGATGTGGAGGAGGTCCAAATAAAGTTCCAGGGTGGATTTGTAGGAAAAGACTGCTGTTTGGAGGCCCATACAGACGATAAAGTTCATAAAATTATGGATTTCTATCCAGAGGATGTTAACTCATTACAAATATCCTTTCAAAAAAATAATTTAATCTGTATATTGGGAAATTTTCCTTAATAAAATTCTTACTCATCAACCATGGTTAGCATTTACATAGGAAACGCTTAACCTAAAATGCAGAAATTATTCTTTTAAAACTGGGAAACATACTCGATAATCCAGGGATAATCCAGGGATTACTTCATTTTCACTTTCAGCACCCCTAATCTTCAAAAGGAGTGTATAAGCCTGTGATTGGTCAGGTTTTTTTTGCCTTAACATTTCCTATTTACATTTATTGAAATAACTTTAAAACAAACAAATAAGACGAAGCTTTTATTTATTCATTTATTTATTTATTGTTTTTTTGTAATAGTAAGCAAGTATAGCTTTATTTACCCGGTATGTTAAAAAAAATACTAGGCTTATTTTAAGAATAGGCTTAAACTTATTTTCAAATTTTTAGGATATTTGTTCGACTGTGAAATTCTTTTCTTTGCTTGTTAAATTAACATATGAAAATACCTATATTTAAATTATACAGTACACTTTCATTTGTCACAAAACCACTGATTGTTAAGTTTGTGGATGTTTACTCTACAGGCTGCTGTACTGTGTGGTAGTTATTTGAGTTGTCTTTCTTCATATACTGGAACAATACACTGGCATGTTGCTGTCTTCAATCTTAAAAGATTGAAAAAAGAAGTTAATTGACATGAACAGAATTCTGGTTTTAATGTTGATTATTTTACACCAAATGATGTATTTCTCTCAGTCACCTCCTCTGTATAAAACTTTAGACCCCTTAGCATCTCTGATGAGTCCTAAAAGGACACAGCAGGTGTATGATGCAGTTTAATTTGTTATTTGGCTCTACTGTATGTGTGTCTTTTGTATAATCCTATTAATGTTACAGGGTAAACTAAAGTTACAATATTTTCTAGTATAGCGGTATTAGGTATGTGGATTTCTGGCGCTGTATGTATATATGAAGGAACAAGGAATAGCCTATTTGATGAACAAGATATCAACATCTCTTGTAAGAAATACATTACTTTACCTATGTAAAGTGTGATAGGTTCCATACTTTCAAAAATGCACACTCACCATATGACGGGCCTTTAAATTTCCTTAACTAATTTATATATTCAAACTTCCAGATCCTTTGAAGATATCCAGTTTCAGGATTGTGTTCAATAATAGTACAGATTTTTTTGGACGGATAACAATATACCAGCTGACAATATTAGGATCAAAGAGTTGATAGAGGATTCAAAAACAAGCATACAGAAAATACTTCACAATAAATTGAATTATAGATATTCTGTAAATTCAGAGACAGGCATTGATATATACCAACTTTATCCCACAAAATTAAATTGTAGTAACAAGCTTCACCTGGTACCAAAAACAATATGCACAAAATAAGTGAAATTATGATTTCTCATCTCAAAACTTCTGTTTATGAATAAGATTGTGAATTATGATTTTGAAATGTAAGCATGAATACTTTTTACCTATAGAAGGTATTTGGTTGTGGCTGAAACAATTAGTCAAAAATATCACTGATACTTGTAAGACTACACTGCCTAGATTTATTATATATATACAACTTGTAAATATAGAAGTGAAATATATTAATACAACATTTGCTTTATAAGATATCACAGTGTCAGTGTGATGATTGTTGGTAAACTGTTCATTCTGATGTACTTTTTTATGCTACTACCTTTTCCTGGGTGAGGATATAGTGTTGCACATGTTTATATATCCTATCCTATCTTGTTTGAATCAGTGCCATATCTTGAAAACATCTAAATAGGTTTGGATCATATTTCCCCCATATTACATTTATCAATAACATCAAGTTCACCACTTAATCATATTCAGGTTTGCAAAGTAACAGAGGCATTGTTACCTTAAAGACATTCTTAACTTTTTATGTCATAAGTCTTTTATTGAACTTTCATGGGAAGCAAGAATCAGAACAAATTAAGCTGTGGTCCAAGAGTTGATATCAGAACCAATCATATTAATGTTATTAAGTTTTGTGCTACAATGTAGGATTTACTCTTTCATGGTTGAATTTAAGTTAAATAGTGGCCAACAGGTATATTTCTGGTGTATTTGAGGTCAGTTCTTTTAATACTCTCCTGAACGTATGTTGAATATGATATCAACTTGTTAAAACTTTGAATAATCACCAGCTCAAATATGTAGACGACCATTCTGAACGTTGGGGCCCTATTAGTATGGTCATTGTTCTGGACTGTATGACATGATGATTTGTAGATTTCATAAATTAATAGTTGTCAAAGGAACTCTGATGTTAGATTTTAATTTGTTTTCGGTCAAAATTGAGATATAATTAACGACTTTTTTTTATAAAAAAAAAAGAAAGAAACATTTTTTTACTTTCGGTTTGCTTCTAAACGTTAAATACTAATTTTATACTGTAAAGATCTTGAAAATATTGATTTGAATCTTCAGTGTGTCCCTTGTGATATACCAGGAAGACACAGATAGCACATCTCTGAACAGGAAATGTATTTCGACTTGTTATGTACAGGTTGTTTACATATCGATGCAATTGTGCGTTGATACATTTGTGTATGTAAATCAAAGCAGAGGTGCAGTTGGTAAGTTAGTTAAATATCACCCTCCAGCTGGACTGGTAATCCTATACAGTGTTATATCATATTGACCTACATTCATGTTCACATATTTAGTTGCAGTGTATAATTGAATACTATATGATTGTAACGTTTTCTGCTCATGTCCATATTTGTCCTCTGCCATACAGATACATGAATATTGTGCGTTGATCAGATAACTTTTGTATCTAAATATTACAAGTATATAATGTTGTTTCATTTCAGTAAAGGACGTTTATCAGACGTAGGTGTCAGCGTTTTGAATTATTTCAGACATATTGATGACGTCTTGTTTTTGAATAACAAGAAATTTATTGACTACGTCCATCGTATATGCCCTGTAGAATTTGAAGTCAGTGACACGACCCACTCTTGTATATCAGTCGCTTATAACACGACTAGCTTTCCCTCAAGCTGTATGACAAGCGTGATAATGTCTATTCCCCATTGGATTTTCGTGCAAGAAGTCGTCAGCTGACGGCTAAACTCCTATAACAGGGTTACAAGAGATGCAGATCAATGGAAATTACGGGGCAGTTTTACGGTCGTCAGGGTGATCTCATTGACATCTATGTCTTTGTGCGATAAGAAACTGGGCGTTTTTTAGGCTTGTTAGTTTGCCAGTTGGCTCCGTTGTTGTATATACATGGATTGACCATGATTTTAGAAGGCGGGTGTCGTCGATGAATCAGAATAGCGCTCTCTAGCGGAACACCTTGGTCTTAATCTACTTGTACTTTTTCAGTAGTTCCACTCCCCCAGTTTTTTTTTAATTTGAGTTTGGATTATGTTGACATATTAGTATGCTATTTTTTTTAATCTTTATACAATCTCGCGACATGTAATTGGATTCTGTTGAAATAAAACGAATCAGATCTAAGCTGTACTATTTATTATCAAAATAAAAACACGATAGATATGATAACAGTGAAAATATGTACAATATTGCAGTATGGGTCGTTTTGTATATATAACGAATAATATATCATTTGTCTAGTTTGACAATACTTTTTTTTATCTTCGTCTCTCGGAGGTTTTACAAGTTCGATTGTCGCCGTCAGCAGTTTAACAAAGTTGGTATGATACGGTTAAATGTTTTTAAAAATAAACTTTGATGAAAAAGCAGTATATGAGAAACAATTTCAGATTGATGAGTTCTGGTTGTTTATTTGTTGGGGATTTCATTTCAGCCAGGCCTTCCGCACGCTCCTGTAATTATTTACAGTATAACACAGCAACAATCATCTGCCGCTTCGCTTCCAGCATTTTCCTCTATTTCAATTCTCAGTTGTAATCTTCTTTTCAATACAGTCATTGGTATCATGTAGTTCTCCATAATCCATTCCCGTTTGTAACACATGATTCTTTTGACATGGGTTTGCGTTCCACCAATCATGATGTCGTTTGACACGACCAGTTGTTGATCAACTGCCGACAGTTCAAAAAACTTGTTTGTTGAGCTGCCGCACATTTCCTCGTTCAGAAATAAACACTTGCCATCCAAAAGATCCGGTGATAGAAGGAGACACAAGATTGTCAGTTGATCTATTTCTGACTCCGTCAGAAGATAATATCTACCAAAATCAGTCAGTCTGTTAAAATCCTCGTCTCTCCCATCCAGATTGATGAGATCACATATACATTGCAGGTAGAACATCATCTTCGCCTTGTAGTCATCCGGGACTTGCACAGAATATCCTACATCGCGAACGCCTATCTCGTGTCTTGTCATTACAGCAGCCATCCTATCTCTTGTCCCTCAGTGTCTATAAAACGGTCGTGTGGTCTTGGAAAAAGTAGTATATGCCAATTCAGGAACTGTACAAGAATTAAACTTTTATACTTGAACGATTTGCACAAGTACTGTTAACTATTTGACTCATATGTTTATCTAAATAAGAATATTTTTACTTCCTCCTGCATGCTTGTACAAGTTTCTACACACGAAACAGTGCAGGTATGTTGTACATGCTTTCATAATACGTTAACAAACATTTAAAACACGATTGGTTTGTAAATCAATTCAATTTGCCTACGTAGCGAGAGCTTAATTAAAGTATATATTCACTACGCAAAATCTATACAATGGACGTTTTTATCGAACACATATGTTTAAAATAAATGACAGGGTTGTCGTGGGTTATAAATATATAGGTGGTGTTGTTTTAAAAGCCATGCGATAGCCTATTGTTTATTGTTTACTGTGACCCAGCAGTCGTTTTGCACTGTTAGTGTGTTTACATGATTTATGCTGGTTATAACCATCACTATATATGACAAAACCTAAATTATCAGGAATAATATAAGCACATTTTAGTAACTACAAATGTGTTTTATGCATACTAAAACCGGCTTGCTTATTATGTTCCGTAACATCTGCCTGGAACCACATTATCCGCATCGTCGATGATCTACCTGTTTAGGTTTCTTACAATATGTCATGAGTCTAACTTTATAAAAATCTAAATATCTTTTCTGATGTTAATTGGTAATTGATATAGTTCGCGGACACGCAATGTCCATTACTCTACAAAAGTTGTCATTATCCCGGATATTTACGATAGAATATTTGTTGTAACACTGTCTCTCGACGTCCATGACCGCGGATGTCTTTTTCACTAACGATTGTTCCAGGTGTGTAATTACGTTGGACACGCCCACATAACGACGAGTATTGTTAGCAATGACGCTCATCTCATCGATTAGATTTGGTGACTTCCAAAACAGCAACAATTATTAGTGACCTCCATCTATCTCATCGAAGAAGCTTTATGACACCCAGGAATCGCAGTATTGAACAAAAGTTGCATTCATCTCATAAATGAAACGTTTTATTACGTCTACCTCTGTGTCAACCCGACACTTGGACAAACATTAGTGACATATATTGATGACGGCAACTTAGTTCCGAAAATTGAGTTCTCCAACTTTGGGGACAAATTTCATGTCCTTTACGCCATTGATTGATTTAGTAATATCTACATTACATCCTCTTTGTCGACAAAGGACTAGACAACAAAACTTTAACGACGTATATTAGTGAGCGATGTACGTCGGAAGGAAGCTCCTTGCAACATCGTGTTTGTGACAGGGTGGCTATCATCCATCAATATACTGGGCTGGTTAAAACGCGGAGGATGACTGGATCCTCTTTCACTTGCACCTGAAGAGAATGAGTCCCAATCGAAATCCTCTGAACGTTTTTTTCGTCGCTTTGTTGGTAATTCAACAGAAAACAAGTCGTTGTCCTGTTCAAATAGTGTACCCATGCTCTTGCTCTTACGCATTCCTGTTGCTGGAACAATATCCTCTGATTGCATATCTTTCGGTTTGCCTTTAAACAGATCCCAAGAAGGTTCATTTTTACGGGCTGTTCTTGCCTTCAAAAAGTGTTGTCCCGCCATTACGGCTGAGACACTTGCAGCAAATGTAGACGTTTTATGATTGTCGTTACCTAACTTTTTGTTGGAGTTACCTCCCATTACATCCCAATCTGTCTTCATGTTGGGGATGGTATGTTCTCTAGCTACAGCAAGTGCGGCAGCTGCTTTCCAGTCTTTACGACCCCTTGCCGTTATTCCTGCTGCCGGAGGTGGTTTTCCATTCACCGCTGCTGTACTGTTTTGATTTGTATTTTCTCTCTTGTCTTGATGAACTGAATTTGGAATATCTTGGTTGGCATTCTGAGGTCGAATCTCGCGATATGGTTGGTTGTCAACGCCACGTGTATTGTTATTTCTATGAATGTCTGATAACGCATTTGAGGATGCGGCGACTTTGGCGATACTATCCATTCCACTTACCTGGCGTTTTGGTGCTGTATTCTTTGAATTTTGTTCGTTCACAGGCTGGCCAACACTATTACTTGTCTGATTCGACTTCGAGCTTGGGTTGCTTTTCTTTTTGAACATGCTTCCCGACAATAAAGCCATCACTGCAAGATTCTTTTCTTTCTTGTTTTCCTTTTGTTCAGCTTCCCTTTCTTCTCTAGTTTTCTCCGTTGCTGAAGGGACCTCGTTGACTGCATCATTATAACGCACGTTTTTATCATTTTGATGTTGATCTTTGTTATGTATATTTCCTTTTGAAGCGCTATCTTTAATTTCATTCATGTTTGTATCTGTTCTGTTATTGCTAGATGCAAACAAGGCTGAAATAGCTGCACTCCTTTTCTCCGCAGTCTTTTGTGTCAAAAGTACAGGTTCTGGAGATTTTGCATTTTTGTTCGAGCCATCAATTTCTTGGTCTGATAATTCTACGTTTTTTTCACCAGAGCCTTGCTTAAAATCTTCGGCAAAGAAAACCTTGCGTTTTGGTGAACCGTATTTTTCTTCCATAAATGAGTTGACTGCTGCACTTTTTATCATAGGGTTTTTCTCTGTTACGCTTTTATTTGCTGGCGACGCTTGATTATGGTTTGTTTGTTCTTTGCTGATGCTATTATCACTTTTGGTGTCATTGGTTATCCGATCGTCTGATGATTCGGGTTTGTTTTTCGTTTGTATGTCTTTACGACCTTGTTTCGTTTGTTCCGATGTTTTGTGAATTGGAGCCACGACCAGTACCGAAGGCATTGTTGTTTGTTTTTCAGTTACTTTAATGTTCTCATTTTGTTTGTGTGCTGATTCTATTTTCTGTTGATTTGTATTATTATTTTTCATTTTCTTCTTTTTTTTCGGTGTCTTCTTCGGAGTATGTTTTATTTCTGAACGTTTGATAACAAAACAGCAGACCATTTTCTTTTTTACCTTATTTGACTTCTTATCAGATTTTGTATTGGTTTTAGAACGTTTTGATTTAGAGTGAGATGCTCTCGCCTTTGTCGTTGACCCTGTAGCTGTCTCTGTTGCAATAACGGAAATGCCACCTGTGGTTATATCACCTTCATCATGGTGCTCGTCGTCGTCAGTGTAGTAGTCATCAGAATCGTCATACTCATCTGACGCGCTACCGCCGCCACACGCACATGAGATACTACTGATTGATTTCTGTTTTGGGACACTGGCTTTTGACGCATTTTGTTGATATCCATCACTAGCACAGTCATCACCTTCCTCGTCAGAATCATCATCAGAATCGTACTCGTCAGAATCATCATAACTGTCTTCCTTCTGTTGTTTCTTTTTACAACAGGCTTGACAGCCAACACATTTGATCTTGCACAAAAAGCAACTTTTGCATCTTTTACCGTCTCTCGATTTCCTTGACGTGTTCTTTTTCCCTGGCTGAGGACGCTTCGAAACCCCAGTTCTTGCTTTAGGCGTATTCCCTGGTTTGTCGGTAGTCTTACAACCTACAATTGTTGATGCCCCTGTATTACTTGGGGTTTCGAGCGAATCAGAGTCATCGCATTCGTCCTCACTATATTCATCGTCAGAATCATAATAAAACTCATCGTCGCTTTCATAACCGAAACAACAACATACGACTGGACGGTTGCCAGTGTCACTAACCGTTGATTTTTCCTTATTGTTTTGTTGATTTTTACCTATGATCCTGTTACTCTTAGGACGGCCTTTAGCGGGTTTTTCTCCCTTTTGTTTAACAGCAGATATTGCAAGTATGCTGTTTTTGCTGTCCATTTTATTTGGAGACCTTCGATTGCCTTTATAGTCATCATCAACATCATCAATTTCGTTTTCCTCGCTGTCTGAATCTTCTTCATATGAGCTGCCTGATGGAATACAACAGCCGGCACAACACGGGGTTCCAGCATTTGACTTTTCTTCTCTCGTCTTTTCCTTTTCTTTCTTCTTTGCTTTTTCTACTTTCTTCTTTGCCTTTGTTTCATTTTCCTTCAGTTCTTTTCCTTTTGTCGTTTTTAAACTTTGAACTTGTGGTTTTCGGTTATCGTCTAATGTATGTCTGTTTGTGACACTGGATATACTTTGATCAGAATTAGACAGGTTATGATTTGCAGCTGCCACAACGCGGATGCTTTTTGCTGATGTACCCCTTTCGTCTGAATTTTCACCGTACTCTTCGTCGTCGGAATCGTAGTAATATTCATCATCCAGCGAGTCACAGCAACAACAGCAGTAGGCGCAAAACAACGCACATCCTTTTTTCTCGTCGTTTTCTTTGTGTTCGGGAGAATGCTGCCTCACATGTGTAGGTCTATCAGCATTTAATACGTTTTTATCATTGCCAGCTTGACGAGTTTTACTTCTAGTCGGTATGCGTTCATCTTCTATGTGATGTTTATCGTTGTTACGCGAAGGGAAATCTTCTCCACCATCACCAATAGGACTAGTCCTTCCTACAGCATTTCGATGGTTCCCAGATTTATGTTTTCGTTGGTTACCAGTAATGTTCTGAAATCATAAAATGACGTTAGAGTTTATCAAATATACGAAATCTTTCCCTAACAAATTAATAAAACACGTATATATCTTCTTATGTATATCTTCATAATCTTCCTATAAGGATACATGTTCTTCATGTTCAGGATTATAAAAAATCACATACAGCTTTGATTAAATAAATGTAAATATTACTTGTTGGGGATAGTAAATGTCGTCGTCAAATTCCTCGTCGTCGTCGTCGTAATCATAGTGTCTTGGGCGGCGTCGTTCTCTACGTCGTCGTCGTTGTCGGGCTTCTTTCTTCCTTTCGTAGCACAGATAACACTGTTTACACAACCAACAGGATCCAAAACCGATCAAGACACAAGCCACTGCCACTGCGACTAGGATTATGATGACGAAGTACAAGGGAATGGTTCCGAACATGACTCATCTGAAATGTATAAACTTTCCATCTTCAGAATTCACCTCGGGTCTACAAGGTCATAGAATGACAAACATAAAGCAGTTTAAATCGTTAGTTGTCTCTAGTTTATCTATAACCATCGCTCCTATCTTCTTTCTGTGGTAAGCTAAAGAAAATATAACAGTTCACTCTTCCCGGCATTTATCAAGTTGCTCCGCTCATTTTCGAGTGATTAACTTATTTCATTTAAAAGATGCACCGATGTATTTTTTGCAAAATAAAAAGATCAGGGATTTAATTGTACTTTTTATATTTTAATGGGAAAATAAATAACAGATATGAAAGCAACGCAAAACAGTTTCTGAATTACTATCCTAAAGAAAGACAAAGAAAGGAAAACTTAAGCATATTGACCAGCTTCTTAAAATAACAAGCGGATATGGGTCAGTGTTCAAAGGCAATATCCAGGATATAATCATGCTTAAGAATTATAGTCCCGACGCAGGTTTTGTCTAAGACATTACCTGTTTGTTAGATAAGACTTCATTATTAGGTGTTACTGGAGTGAAATGTGTCTTCGGAGCTCAGTTTATCCAGTTGCATATCATATTGCACAAATTTTACAAAATTATATCACTTTTTAAAATCTATCATCTGTGCTCCCCTAAAACAGAACTATATGTAAAATTTACCTTTGGCGAAAGCGCAAGATGATTACGTATTTTAAAAGTGAAAAATTAAGTTTTTAATGTTCCAGACTTTATAAATGGTTCAAACGATATAAAAATACCAGAGATAGCTATAAAGCCATAGAGATTATATAAAAGACACTCAAGTCAACAGAATCTTTCCATACAATGGAGGAACGAAACATGCTTTAGTATCCCCTATAAAAAATGGATAATCCAATAAATATTCATCACTTTGTTCCTGTTGAAAGAATGGATAGATCCGGTAATATAATTCAGTATATCACAGTCAATTAACCTCCGAAGGGCCCAAGAAATAGTCATTATGTCACACATAAAAGTAACCGAGGATCTGGAAAAAAACTGTTATAACATTCAAAATGAACATATGGAAAATCTAGGCAATGATAGTATCTTTTAAATAGCAAATTAATGTAATATTACTCTGATAATTTAATTATTGTGCTGCTGAATCTCCCCGTCTAGATTTTACCTTTTCTTTCGATCACTTCGGATTTTTCTCTATTGCCTTCTAAGCTTCACAATTTATGCCCTTATTATCACTGATGAGTCCTGAGTGGACTAAACAGCTGTATGATGCAGTTTGATTCATTGATTAGCTCTACTTTATCTAACTCTAAATTATTGAAAGGTGCTATTCACCTGTGTGTCTTTTTTACAATCTCCAATATTCCAACAAAATTTCAGAACAAAAGGAAATTTAGTTAAACAATGCATGCATTATATGTTAACCTTTGTAATAGTAGTAATTGATACATCAAAGGATTTTATTGACGTATTAGGTACCAACATTCACTTACCTGTAATCCCTAGGTTTTGCCCATAAATTTGTCCCTTCTTTATATAATAATAGACACAGACTACATTGTGTGTCATGTGATATATTCCATGGTGTTGGGTATAATTATGACTGTATGTATCGCCAGTGGGTGGGTTATTATAGGTTAGTGTGTTAATTCGTTAATCCTACATTATCCAGCAACATAAATATCTGTAACGTTATTACTAATACAGAGGTCAAAAATATTGTGTATTAAAACACTTAACAAAAGAAGTGAAGCTTAAAAACTAAATATACAAGCAATTGTGTAGAGTGTTACGGTAAAGCTCGCTCCTTTCCTAAAAGACATTTTTAAATTAGGATTTGTTTTTTGTTTTAAAATTGGTTTATTTTTCAATACATAATTCAGGTCATTTAATTTGTTCTTGGTAATAGTAATGAAAACAGTAGTTATTAATTGAAGGAAAAAGATATTAGTAACAAGCGATTTTTTTTTCTGTAAAATTTCTTCAACTTTTCATTTGCACTCATTTCGGCATTAAAGAGATGTCTTATATATTATTATCATTGCTCTGGATATATACAGTGAAGATTCGGTCAAGCAAACACGTTGCCTCCATAACAGGTCTGCTCCAACTTTTCTATCGATTCACCGGCGGTTGATGTTTTCCTGGTTTTGTTCCATATTTCTGTCGGTCTGGTAGGATGTCTATATATGTTGCTTCTATTTTATGTGTATTTACCTACGAAGCATCGAGATTCCTGAATATCTCTTCAGCTGTTTATTTACCTTAGGAACAATGACCAATATTATTTCGTTCCGACATTTAATCGTTCCTGATTTTTACTTCACCAATATAACCGGTATGTATCACGCAACCATGACCAATATTATTTCGTTCCGACATTTTATTGTCCTGATTTTTACTTCATCAATATAACCGGTATATATCACACAACCATGACCAATATTATTTCGTTCCGACATTTAATCGTTCCTGATTTTTACTTCATCAATATATCCGGTATATATCACACAACCATGACCAATATTATTTCGTTCCGACATTTTATCGTTCCTGATTTTTACTTCATCAATATAACCGGTATATATCACACAACCATGACCAATATTATTTCTTTCCGACATTTAATCGTTCCTGATTTTTACTTCATCAATATATCCAGTATATATCACACAACCATGACCAATATTATTTCGTTCCGACATTTTATTGTCCTGATTTTTACTTCATCAATATATCCGGTATATATCACACAACCATGACCAATATTATTCCGTTCCGACATTTAATCGTTCCTGATTTTTACTTCACCAATATATCCGGTATATATCACACAACCATGACCAATATTATTTCGTTCCGACATTAAATCGTTCCTGATTTTTACTTCACCAATATAACCGGTATATATCACGCAACCATGACCAATATTATTTCGTTCCGACATTTAATCGATCCTGATTTTTACTTCACCAATATAACCGGTATATATCACACAACCATGACCAATATTATTTCGTTCCGACATTTAATCGCTCCTGATTTTTACTTCACCAATATAACCGGTATATATCACACAACCATGACCAATATTATTTCGTTCCGACATTTAATCGTTCCTGATTTTTTACTTCACCAATATAACCGGTATATATCACGCAACCATGACCAATATTATTTCGTTCCGACATTTAATCGTTCCTGATTTTTACTTCATCAATATAACCGGTATATATCACACAACCATGACCAATATTATTTCATTCCGACATTTTATTGTCCTGATTTTTACTTCATCAATATATCCGGTATATATCACACAACCATGACCAATATTATTTCGTTCCGACATTTAATCGCTCCTGATTTTTACTTCACCAATATAACCGGTATATATCACGCAACCATGACCAATATTATTTCGTTCCGACATTTAATCGCTCCTGATTTTTACTTCACCAATATAACCGGTATATATCACACAACCATGACCAATACTATTTCGTTCCGACATTTAATCGTTCCTGATTTTTTACTTCACCAATATAACCGGTATATATCACGCAACCATGACCAATATTATTTCGTTCCGACATTTAATCGTTCCTGATTTTTACTTCATCAATATAACCGGTATATATCAAGCAACCATGACCAATATTATTTCATTCCGACATTTTATTGTCCTGATTTTTACTTCATCAATATATCCGGTATATATCACACAACCATGACCAATATTATTTCATTCCGACATTTTATTGTCCTGATTTTTACTTCATCAATATAACCGGTATATATCACGCAACCATGACCAATATTATTTCTTTCCGACATTTAATCGTTCCTGATTTTTACTTCATCAATATAACCGGTATATATCACACAACCATGACCAATATTATTTCGTTCCGACATTTTATTGTCCTGATTTTTACTTCATCAATATATCCGGTATATATCACACAACCATGACCAATATTATTCCGTTCCGACATTTAATCGTTCCTGATTTTTACTTCACCAATATATCCGGTATATATCACACAACCATGACCAATATTATTTCGTTCCGACATTAAATCGTTCCTGATTTTTACTTCACCAATATAACCGGTATATATCACGCAACCATGACCAATATTATTTCATTCCGACATTTAATCGCTCCTGATTTTTACTTCACCAATATAACCGGTATATATCACGCAACCATGACCAATATTATTTCGTTCCGGCATTTAATCGTTCCTGATTTTTTACTTCCCCAATATAACCGGTATATATCACGCAACCATGACCAATATTATTCCGTTCCGACATTTAATGGTTCCTGATTTTTACTTCATCAATATATCCGGTATATATCACGCAACCATGACCAATATTATTTCGTTCCGACATTTAATCGTTCCTGATTTTTACTTCATCAATATAACCGGTATATATCAAGCAACCATGACCAAAATTATTTCATTCCGACATTTAATCGTTCCTGATTTTTACTTCACCAATATATCCGGTATATATCACACAACCATGACCAATATTATTTCGTTCCGACATTTTATTGTCCTGATTTTTACTTCATCAATATATCCAGTATATATCACACAACCATGACCAATATTATTCCGTTCCGACATTTAATCGTTCCTGATTTTTACTTCATCAATATATCCGGTATATATCACACAACCATGACCAATATTATTTCGTTCCGACATTAAATCGTTCCTGATTTTTACTTCACCAATATAACCGGTATATATCACACAACCATGGCCAATATTATTCCGTTCCGACATTTAATCGTTCCTGATTTTTACTTCATCAATATATCCGGTATATATCACACAACCATGACCAATATTATTTCGTTCCGACATTTAATCGTTCCTGATTTTTACTTCATCAATATATCCAGTATATATCACACAACAATGACCAATATTATTTCGTTCCGACATTTAATCGTTCCTGATTTTTTACTTCACCAATATATCCGGTATATATCACGCAACCATGACCAATATTATTCCGTTCCGACATTTAATCGTTCCTGATTTTTACTTCATCAATATATCCGGTATATATCACGCAACCATGACCAATATTATTTCGTTCCGACATTTAATCGTTCCTGATTTTTACTTCATCAATATAACCGGTATATATCAAGCAACCATGACCAATATTATTTCATTCCGACATTTTATTGTCCTGATTTTTACTTCATCAATATATCCGGTATATATCACACAACCATGACCAATATTATTCCGTTCCGACATTTAATCGTTCCTGATTTTTACTTCACCAATATATCCGGTATATATCACACAACCATGACCAATATTATTTCGTTCCGACATTAAATCGTTCCTGATTTTTACTTCACCAATATAACCGGTATATATCACGCAACCATGACCAATATTATTTCATTCCGACATTTAAACGCTCCTGATTTTTACTTCACCAATATAACCGGTATATATCACGCAACCATGACCAATATTATTTCGTTCCGACATTTAATCGTTCCTGATTTTTTACTTCACCAATATAACCGGTATATATCACACAACCATGACCAATATTATTTCGTTCCGACATTTAATCGTTCCTGATTTTTTACTTCATCAATATATCCGGTATATATCACACAACCATGACCAATATTATTTCGTTCCGACATTTAATCGTTCCTGATTTTTTACTTCATCAATATATCCGGTATATATCACACAACCATGACCAATATTATTTCGTTCCGACATTTTATTGTCCTGATTTTTACTTCACCAATATAACCGGTATATATCACACAACCATGACCAATATTATTTCGTTCCGACATTTAATCGTTCCTGATTTTTACTTCACCAATATAACCGGTATATATCACGCAACCATGACCAATATTATTTCTTTCTGACATTTAATCGTTCCTGATTTTTACTTCATCAATATATCCGGTATATATCACGCAACCATGACCAATATTATTTCGTTCCGACATTTAATCGTTCCTGATTTTTACTTCACCAATATATCCGGTATATATCACACAACCATGACCAATATTATTTCGTTCCGACATTTTATTGTCCTGATTTTTACTTCATCAATATAACCGGTATATATCACACAACCATGACCAATATTATTTCGTTCCGACATTTAATCGTTCCTGATTTTTACTTCATCAATATAACCGGTATATATCAAGCAACCATGACCAATATTATTTCATTCCGACATTTTATTGTCCTGATTTTTACTTCATCAATATATCCGGTATATATCACACAACCATGACCAATATTATTTCGTTCCGACATTTTATTGTCCTGATTTTTACTTCATCAATATAACCGGTATATATCACACAACCATGACCAATATTATTTCGTTCCGACATTTTATCGTTCCTGATTTTTACTTCATCAATATATCCGATATATATCACACAACCATGACCAATATTATTTCGTTCCGACATTTAATCGTTCCTGATTTTTACTTCACCAATATAACCGGTATATATCACACAACCATGACCAATATTATTTCGTTCCGACATTTAATCGTTCCTGATTTTTACTTCGTCAATATATATTCTGTATATATAATTGTGTTAAAAGATACATTTTTTTAAGATTGTTATTTCTGTGATGACTTTATTTTCGCTTTAGTCGTGAATGGAATACGATGAGGAAAATAGAAACCTTGAAAATACATTTCCTTTAAAAGATTGTCTTCTTTAAAGCAAAAATATCAGCCATCGTAAAACAACATGTAGACGAGCCTCGATCAAAACAAGAAAGCACTAATAAAATTTTAGAAGAGACTGTACATACGCCACATTAATATTTGATTATGAAATGATCAGATTTAAAATAGTGAATAATCGTAACTTCAAGACAGGTATCGAAAGTTCAATGACTAACCAACAATAAATAGTAACATATACATTATATAAATATAAAACGATGACTTCTGAACGCATGTCTCCATCTTGTCAAAACCTAAGGTTGAGACGGGGGATTCCCCTTTCACAACATTTGGATAATAACAACATATCAGAAGTACAGCAGGGTAAGATAAAAAGAAACAGTCATCCCCTTGTTGTTGAGATAGAACGATCTCAATACTCGGGACAAGAATATTAATTTGCAGACTCTGGGCAATCGTTGTATTTTCAAACTAAATATTTTTCCATAATTGTGAAAGTAAAACATTCAACAATATGTAATTATCTCTATTTTCTACTTTCTGTTTTGATGAAAATGGAACATCAGTGTCATCTACTTTTAATTCTATCCCAAAAGTCTATTGAAAATAGATAAAAATAGCTTTACACCAATAAATATTCCAAATAAAGAATCAAAATGCTGATGAAAGTAATAACATGTATAGCGACATTATATTTAATCTATTAAATATAAACATGAGTAGACTAGATAGACCAGGATTATCAAACCACTGTATATAATGTTCGAGGAGTTCTAATAGTTATTGTTTTCAAGGATAACGTAAAATCACGGAAATACGATAACAAAAACAAAATGAACAGAGATATCAATGTTTGTTTCATATGCTCCATTCAAATGCAACAACTGAAAAAAAAATTAATTTAATCAATTTAATGAATAACAAATTAGGATTAATAAACTGTATTAATTAAGAAGATGATATATTTAATCTAACATACATGACCCTATGTGATAACAAATGCCATCAAAATGAACACTGTCTATTCATGGTCATATTGTGTATACTAATGATAAACCCAAAGAAAAGCATGTGTAGTCTAACTAATATCCCATTTTGATGACGTTTAACAATCCGTGGACTCCTTCAAACGATGTGGCTCATACAGAATCGCTCGCACCTCTGGACCTTTCACTGCTGGTATGTTATTGAATGTCGTTTGTTTCTCAAGTCCGGGTTTTATAATGCCATGTGCATCTCCCGTCTCTGGGAAAGGATCATACATGCCAACTGGTGATTCAACATGCGCTGGTATCGCAGCAAGTCTCGGCGGTCGCGAGACTTTAGGTTTTCGCGCCATTTTCTTAGCATCTTCGAGAAAATTGTGAATGTATGTATTGTCTGTATTACTTACACGGTTGTCGTATATGGTGTTGTATTCGATACGATTTACAGAAGGAGAGACGTCGCCCGAACTATCATTTCCGGGATACGTTATACTGTCCGGGTAACTTTTCAGTGGTATGTCCCAGAGTGTAATAGGATGGCTAGCAGCCTTGGATGGATAGCGCAGAAAGGAATGATCCCGGTCACGAGTTTTTGGTATGTCTTGTGGTCGTAGTGGGACAACCGTTGGACAACTAGCGATGTCACTAAAAGGCACTCTGTGGTCACTTATCGCTGTCGATGGAATGCTTAAACTACTAGCATCTACCGATTTAGTTGTTCCGTTTAAAGATTCTTGGGGTAACACTGTCATTTTACTTCCAACAAGTGAAGATGACGATCCAGTAGATGTTGATTTAGTAGGGCGACTTTGTGGAAGTGGAGAGGGTGGTTTTAATACACTTAAATCCGTTTGGACATTTGCCGATTTAAACCTCCGTTCTGGACTACTCATAGCGGAAGTAGACGCGTCCATTTTCGTCATTACTATGGGAGCCGTAACTTCCGGATTGACTTGCATCGGTGCGACAGCTCTAAGAGTTCGTTGCGTTCTTTCGGATGATGTGTATGAAGGAAACGGCGACACATTAGATGTTAAAGAGCCTCGTCTGTCAGTTATGGTTCCAATTTCTTTAGTTGGCATTTCTTCCTCGATGCATTCATACTGTGTACCGAAAGTCTTGGACTTGGGTGAGGGGTATATGACACGCTCTGTGACATCTTCATACTGGGTCCCAGCAGCCCTGATCTTCGGTGTTGTATTGATCCGTTCATATTGCGTGCCAGCGGTCTTAGCCATCGGCGTGTTGAGACGTGTAGAGTGCTTTCCCGAAGATGACGGTATCAGTATTGGAGCTGCGTCCAAGGAATGATGACTGTCTACACTGACCAGTCGCATTGACCTGGGTTTTACTTCATTAACTTTGTACCCGTCCAGAGATTCCATGGATACTACGCTCTTTGTTCGTTGTTTCCTACTGATATCATCTTTTCTTGCATCCCTTTCCATAAAGACGCTGTCCATCCTCTGAAATGTTAAGTATGTTGTAAACAACAAACTATCATGACATGAAAGCTAGTACAAAAATATAATAATAAAGAGAAGAATATCACTTCATTGATAATTTACGTTTTTCAAAATAGCAGTCAATACTGTAGTATTGACGCCACTTCGATTTAACGTCACAATGCACACTGCAATATTTACAATATTGATCTTTTGTTAACCTCATGATTAACATGTAATTGATATGTTTAAATTTGTATAGGAGAAGATAAACACCTCCTGTCAAAGTTTATCTTTTCAAACTTTGATTTGATATTTCCAATATGTCGCCGATAAACATGAAACAAAAACAAGAAACGACCAATATGTGAACATCGATGAAAATAGGAGCAGATCATGAACAAAGAAAGATTCCTAAAAAAGTATCAAGAATGAATGGCCACGTGTTCTGAAAGAAGAAGCGTCTTTTGTTTCATCGACGACACCCGCGAGGTAAATCTTAGCCAACCCAAATCAGTAATGCCATGTTCTCAAATGAGTTCGGGGTATACAACAACAGAATGAACACTCTAACTACCGAGCATCATACGAGTCCAGCTTCATATCGCACAAAGAATTCTTAATGAGACCAATGACGACCGTTAAATTTGCTCATACATTTTCATGAACTTGTATTTCTTGAAACCCTGTGTTATGAGTATGTCCGTCAGTTGAAGACATCTTGCACGAAAATGGTGCTATTGTGTACGTTTTCCCGTGCTATATCACGAAACCGATACAATATTCACTTTCGATTAAACAATATCGAGTTTCTAATCGTTTGCTTATTTAGACCTGATTATAGTTTCCTCTTTGTAACCGATATGTTTTCATTTTGATGCCATAACGAAAATCTAAGTGTAAAACAATCATAACATGTACATTTGGCAGTTTTTTGTCAGTATGTGTAATTAGGGTATTAACTTATCAAAGTACTATTGCAATTTCTGGATATTATATATAAAGCAATTATTATGGCTGCATTAATTTGCCAAAACGTGACATTGCGCTAAAATTAAGTACGTTTCCAATATAAGGTAAAAGAGAACAGTACCCTTTTGTCGAAAACTCTTTCCTCGCCTCGCGTCTTAGCTCCAACAGCTGTCTCCTCGAAGCAGCAGCAGCGACAACAGCAGCAAAGCAACACTGATAGCAGCAACAATAGCAGAAAGGCCCCAGCAACGATGGCTATTAGCATCCAAAGGTCGAGACCGAGGATCTTGTCGTCAGCCGCGTCTGTTGGAAACAAGATTTCAGGACAACTCCTTCAAATAACAATAAACATCCTGACACAGAAACCAAGAAACAAAGCACATGAAGTGGTAGGGCTTCCAGAGATTTTTTGCAGTTATAGCATTAATATATAAAAAAAAACTAATGTTCACATCAGCTCCAACAGATTTTACATATTAAAATAGTTAAAATATATCCTTCAGAAGTTTAACATTTCAACAATGTACTGCAAACAACGGCCTGATTTCCTTATTACAATCTACACCACCAAAGTAGAGAAGGACCAATGTAAAGTTACCAGTGAATGGTTATAAAGCTAATTCATTGAGACCTTGACCAGAGTGAGGTGCTGACGTGATAAGGTAGAAAGCTATGGTAGAGTATGAAAGCCCTAATCAATAGCCGAGGTCAGAAGTCTTTTGTATGTTTTATCTTAAATCTGACATCGTTGCGGTAACAAGATATATCCAGTGTCGACGGTGACAGAATTATAAATTTATTTGATTTTATCCGACCGTGTTTAGTAAAATGCTGCTTAAAATATACAATAATACTCAGTGAATCAGATTTTTTCATTTAATATTCATGCGAGTTTGACGAAATAAATATTTTGTTTCCTTTTACAAATTTGTTAATCTTGTTCAGTGATTCCATATATGATTAAGATACATTTCACTTTTCGCTCCTTTAATGTCACTTGCAAATGAACTAAAAAATGAAGCTACGCTTATAAAAATCCGAGTTTTGGGACATCTCGTCCTTAATCTGACATTTTAACTGATGCTTACCGTTAAGTGTGGTTGCTGATGGTGTCGTCGTGTGTTTTGAATCGGTTTTCGCCGGGATATTATCGGTAGCTGCCGTTGGTGATGTCACAACAGAAGCCACCAGATGTGCTGTTGTTTGTTGAGATTGTCGGCTTGACTTTGTCGTTGATGACATTTTAACGTTAGATACAGCATGGGTGTTAGGGACAGGGTTTGACAACGTTTGACCAGGTGCTGCTACGTTCCCTGTGGTTGGAGCATTTACGGTTGGCAGAGTGGTTGTTGGCGTGGTAGTCACCGTGGATGTCGGACCAGTGGTTGTAGTTGTAGTGGTGGTGGTAGTGGTTGTGGTTGAAGATGCAGTCGTGGACGTTGTACTTGTTTTGGTGGAAACCGTAGTGGCTGTAATAGAATTATTTCATCCTCTATGAAACAAGCATTTTCATGCGCCATTTTGTTATGTCATGACCCAAAAAATAAAAAAGACTTGTTGATCTATAACACAAAAAAAAAGAAGTAAAGTCATGCCATAAGCTGTATCGCGTATACTCCCTTAATTCATATTATGGTAAAACATTCAAGAAATGAATTTAAGTTCATCCTTAAATAAAGTAACAATCTCATCGTCATTTATTCAAAAAAGTTGTCTGTGGTTAGGTCAGACACACTTCCGGCCAATCAAAAATACTTAATTAACTGATAAAAACACTTTTTACTAACGTTGTGCTTCAGTGATGACGTCGAGCCAGGGTAAGCTTGCAGGACCAAGACCACAATCATTGACGCATTGCACGTGTATCTGATAGTGTGTAGACGGCTGTAGACCCCGGATGACTCCTGTTAAAGTGTTCTCCCCTGTAACATTGGTAGACATTTCTGTGCTATTCCCTGCCATTCTATATGTCAATCTGTAAAGGAACCAATATTACTATTTAACAATACATATTGATATCTGATGATGTGCTATAATATAATCAATATAGATAAATAATTAAGATCATAAAACATTGTTCACAATATCTTCTAATTTAACTAAACAGCATACAAACTAATTGTCAAAATAAGTATGTCCACTCTACATGATATGTTCAATTTTGGACAAAATCAGCATTTGCTAAAGACACGTTGGCCATGTCTAAAATGCTTTATTTATAAAGGACGAGAGTCGATTGAGACTGCAGCTTCTGTAATAAGTTTATTTCTCTCCATGAAGACACTTTAAGTTCAGCTGAATATATCTTTTTTATGTAGTATGATATTCAAAACTTCTGTGTTGACTCGTACCAAAGTAAGACAAGTTGGCTTCCGCAAAAACAGGGGAGATTAAAATTTGAAATGTACTATACTACTTGCCATTTTGAGTGCCGTAACCAGACCTTTCAGGGTTATATAGGGTCATCAACTTCCCATGTATAACATCACCATGTATATCATATAGATCACTGGCAAGCTGTCCCTGTTGGTCGAGTCAGGGTATCATTCCAGATGAAGTTAAAATGGCTTTTTCATTAATGAGTATACATCTGATGAAATCTCGTAAGTCTAAATATATAGAAAACAAAACTTGCACATTGTACAGTATAGTGAGAATGATAACACTTACGTGTAGCCTAAGATATTTCCGTTCTTCAAAAAAAGATTGAGCGTGTCCCACTGCAAACTGATACTGTCATGTGTCTTGGACACCATGTGAAACTTGCCCGGAGCAGCTCCTGGACCTAAAAAAACAAGGGGGAATATCCAGGTAGTATGTTTTCATCGGTTCCACACACAATATATATTTTTTAAAAGTTAGAGACGACAGATATAGAGTTATGACTAAATTGGCATCAATAACAATAACTGAACGTGTTGTTTAGTTGTGGTACCGTATAGTGACATGTTGTTTAGTTGTGGTACCGTATAGTGACATGTTGTTTAGTTGTGGTACCGTATAGTGACACGTTGTTTAGTTGTTGTACCGTATCGTGACACGTTGTTTAGTTGTGGTACCCTATAGTGACATGTTGTGTAGTTGTGGTACCGTATAGTGACATGTTATTAGTTGTTGTACCGTATAGTGACATGTTGTTTAGTTGTGGTACCGTATAGTGACACGTTGTTCAGTTGTGTTACCGTTTAGTGACATGTTGTTTAGTTGTGGTACCGTATAGTGACATGTTGTTTAGTTGTGGTATCGTAAAGTGACACGTTGTTTAGTTGTGGTACCGTATAGTGACATGTTGTTTAGTTGTGGTACCGTATAGTGACACGTTGTTTAGTTGTGGTACCGTATAGTGACATGTGGTGTAATTGTGGTACCGTATAGTGACACGTTGTTTAGTTGTGGTACCGTTTAGTGACATGTTGTTTAGTTCTGGTACCGTATAGTGACATGTGGTGAAATTGTGGTACCGTATAGTAACATGTTGTTTAGTTGTGGTACCGTATCGTGACACGTTGTTTAGTTGTGGTACCGTATAGTGTCATGTTGTTTAGTTGTGGTACCGTATAGTGACATGTTGTTTAGTTGTGGTACCGTATCGTGACACGTTGTTTAGTTGTGGTACCGTATAGTGACATGTTGTTTAGTTGTGGTACCGTATAGTGACACGTTGTTTAGTTATGGTACCGTATAGTGACACGTTGTTCAGTTGTGTTACCGTTTAGTGACATGTTGTTTAGTTGTGGTACCGTATAGTGACATGTTGTTTAGTTGTGGTACCGTATAGTGACACGTTGTTTAGTTGTGGTACCCTATAGTGACATGTTGTGTAGTTGTGGTACCGTATAGTGACATGTTATTAGTTGTTGTCGGTTCCACACACAATATATATTTTTTAAAAGTTATAGACGACAGATATAGAGTTATGACTAAATTGGCATCAATAACAATAACTGAACGTGTTGTTTAGTTGTGGTACCGTATAGTGACATGTTGTTTAGTTGTGGTACCGTATAGTGACATGTTGTTTAGTTGTGGTACCGTATAGTGACATGTTGTTTAGTTGTGGTATCGTATAGTGACACGTTGTTTAGTTGTTGTACCGTATCGTGACACGTTGTTTAGTTGTGGTACCGTATAGTGACACGTTGTTTAGTTGTGGTACCGTATAGTGACATGTGGTGTAATTGTGGTACCGTATAGTGACACGTTGTTTAGTTGTGGTACCGTTTAGTGACATGTTGTTTAGTTCTGGTACCGTATAGTGACATGTGGTGAAATTGCGGTACCGTATAGTGACATGTTGTTTAGTTGTGGTACCGTATCGTGACACGTTGTTTAGTTGTGGTACCGTATAGTGACATGTTGTTTAGTTGTGGTACCGTATAGTGACACGTTCTTTAGTTATGGTACCGTATAGTGACACGTTGTTCAGTTGTGTTACCGTTTAGTGACATGTTGTTTAGTTGTGGTACCGTATAGTGACATGTTGTTTAGTTGTGGTACCGTATAGTGACACGTTGTTTAGTTGTGGTACCCTATAGTGACATGTTGTGTAGTTGTGGTACCGTATAGTGACATGTTATTAGTTGTTGTCGGTTCCACACACAATATATATTTTTTAAAAGTTAGAGACGACAGATATAGAGTTATGACTAAATTGGCATCAATAACAATAACTGAACGTGTTGTTTAGTTGTGGTACCGTATAGTGACATGTTGTTTAGTTGTGGTACCGTATAGTGACATGTTGTTTAGTTGTGGTACCGTATAGTGACATGTTGTTTAGTTGTGGTATCGTATAGTGACACGTTGTTTAGTTGTTGTACCGTATCGTGACACGTTGTTTAGTTGTGGTACCGTATAGTGACACGTTGTTTAGTTGTGGTACCGTATAGTGACATGTGGTGTAATTGTGGTACCGTATAGTGACACGTTGTTTAGTTGTGGTACCGTATAGTAACATGTTGTTTAGTTGTGGTACCGTATAGTGACATGTTATTAGTTGTGGTACCGTATAGTGTCATGTTGTTTAGTTGTGGTACCGTATAGTGACTTGTTTAGTTGTGGTACCGTATAGTGACATGTTATTAGTTGTGGTACCGTATAGTGTCATGTTGTTTAGTTGTGGTACCGTATAGTGACATGTTTAGTTGTGGTACCGTATCGTGACACGTTGTTTAGTTGTGGTACCGTATAGTAACATGTTGTTTAGTTGTGGTACCGTATAGTAACATGTTGTTTAGTTGTGGTACCGTATAGTGATGTGGAGTT